TTTTTTTTTTGTTTCTTTTTGAAAAAGAAAGTCGGAGCTAAACCGATAACATATGACAGCAGCGTAAAATAAATATGGGTCCCTCTTTCAAAAGCACAACGTAGCGAACAAAATAGTGTTTTGTTTTTCTCTTTATGCGCGAGTATAATTGACTTGAATTAACACGAGTTGCTTGCATTGTTCGCCGATGCGTGTCTATCGATCTGTCGTCGTTCCGTAAAAAATTAGCCATACAAAATAAAGGGAGACAAGGATGAAGGTGAAGCATGAACGACGATAGGAACGAAGGGGTGAGAAAATCAATCCGTGAACGCGGCCAATTTGTCCTCCATCGGACGTGATTAGCGCGTTGTTTAGCCTATGGAGTACACAGAACACAGAACAGCCCGTGATGAATCTCGCAACTAAAACACCTCTGGCGTAACGAGCATTTATTTTTATTCGCCGTGACTAAGCGCGATGCACGCGAGAAATATACGTGCGTTCTGTATGAATATTTACATTCCACCGTTCCGCATAAACAGTACTCGGTGGGAAAGAAAAAATAGGTTAAAGCGAGGACACCCCCTCCCCCTCCCTCCGCCGTAGATATCAACCGGAAGCGTCCACAATTCTGCTCTGTTCGTGTTCTGCATTGCGTATAATTTTCGTCGGGTCTAGCACGCGCTCCGTGCATTTCTTCAAAAAATCGCCAAGTCTCGATGCGTTCGCATTGAGAACACCGTTTTTCCCCAGCAATGGCATTCAACACACTGCTTCTCCGCTAGTCGGACGAACTTTGCTCCCCTAGGATCTGCCTCGTCTGGAAACAACGCTATCTGTTTGAACGTCCTAGGACAACAAAGATTTATCCACGTCTACTTTGTATCTATTGTAATTCTGCAAAGACTCCTGAGATTTCTTCAGCTCGTCTATTACGTATCTCGTGTCCTCCGCTTCCATCTTGGAATCTATACCGTCGCCGTACGTGCTGACGCATATCATCGTAGGAGAGTCACCCTTTTCGGACACTTTTAGATTCGCCTAAATACGACAGTTATGGATACAGTAAGAACTAGAGTAGGACAGAATCTTATGAAGATTCTGTATTTTCTTTTACCTTCGATTGGCCCGAGTTGTTAGGCTGGCAGGAACATCGAGGCTCCTTGCAGGATAGACAGAGCATCCCAAAAGGATAGATGAAGAAAAACGTTAGGTTTAGAAAAAATTCTGCTACCCTGGGGAAAGACCATCTCGCGTTACAGTGATATTTCGACGTACAAGAGTCCGTAAATCTCACCTACAGCAAATTCTGACAGACTTTCGACCCGTGTCGGGATGCACGGGTTGCCCGTATCGATTGAACACAACGTTCCTCGATTTCAAGTCTCTTTCCAAGTACTTTGTCATTTTGCGCGTCTCGAGTAAAGCGTCTAATCCCCAACGACTCACTACCGGCACGCATATGCCGATTATCCACTTGAGGAAACCTGAGAAAAATTCTCATTGTCAGGCTGAAAACGTCGGATCGATTTTCGATCTGTACCTAGTAACAGGAAAAATAGTAGCAAAGTAAGTAAAACCAGGCAAACGATCGTAACAGCATCGGGCCAAGTTGAAGGCTCGACGCGTTTTATCAGAATCGGGCCTTGAAAACCAGCGGCCTGGTAATGTTCCTTTGACATGGGCTGACAATGCTCTTCGTCCCGCGAGTCAGACAAGCACGAGCACTCGCAATGTCCCACGCAAGAACAACGATCCATTTTTCGTACCTTTATCTCCCTCTGTGCTGCTGGCTCGTCGTTGCGATTCAAAAGTACCACTGAAGACGACGAACGAAGCGATGAAAAGAAGAAAAGGAGCGACTTTCTTTTTTTACGGTGATTTAATCGCTTCGAACGAAAAAAAAAAAAAAAAAAAAAGAGAGAAAGAAAAGTAAGGGAACGTCGGAAAATTTCATTGACTATGACATTCACCGGAGCAGGAGAATTCATTTAACGAGACTCTGCCGTTCAGATTCAGAGCTACTTTACGATCACGATGGGGCGAGATTGTCTTCGTCGGGCTCTCGGCATTCAACCACGATACCGGAACTCCTTTGGGACAGTCCGTAATCCGTGCTCGATAAGAGGACGAAGATGAGCCTTTGTTGGTAATCAGCAGCGTTATCACCGTGTAATCAATTGCGGTGTTATCTGTGTGAACCTCGGTAAGTCGAGCAGACGAGCTGAAATTCAATGAAAATTATCTTCGACTTCATTAACCATGAAAATTAGTTTGCCACTGGTATGACACTTGAAACGTAACGCGGCACGCGACACGGTAGAAAATGGCGGCACACCGATCTCTAAGAACCACGTTATTTGTAGATGGCGATTCGATCGTTTTCTTTTTTTTTTTTTTTTTTAAAGTAGTTGAACAATTGGTGGACAGAATTACGGTGGAAATATATCCCCTGCGAAACGATTATCACCTCGGAAACTCACCCGGCTCTGAGGAGGTTATTGTAGTCGTCCCTGAGTTCGACGTCGATCACAGACACGTGCAGCGAATGGTACTCCAGAGCGAGGAACTCGCGGCTTCCGGTTCCGTTCACGTTGTACTTGATGGCTTCGTTCGGCACCCGGGCGAAATTGCTCAAGAAGTAGCAACCAGCCCGCCCGGATTCCCGTGCTTCCTACCAGCACGTGACATTAGATCGAACGTGTACCATTCGATAACACCCGCCAGTTTACGGAAATGTTCCGCCACTTCAGGAAATATTCCGCCCGCCCTTT